TTGCTCATTGCCGCCCCATCTCATAATTGGCAACTGGGGTTGTATTATATTATGCTCTGTTCAGAAAGAAAAGGTGTCGAGAAAAGCAAGACCCAAACACTCTGTTCTGACACCGAAGCACTTCAGTCTGATGGTTGGAGTCACCGTGCTGGCCCTGTTGAGTGTGCTGATTTTGACAACTCAGCATTTGCCATTGGAAAACCAGGCAAAACAATCTGACAAACTCTAGTACCCATTGTAGCTACCGAATCCATCCATTTTATCTATCGACTGTGTCTAATGCTGGTATCAACGCTACAGCCTTTGCTGCATGACTTCTGTCCCCAGGAACCCTATAGACAAACCAGTAGATCCTGGTTCTCTTTCACTCCATAAGACAGAGACAAGCTTTTAGGCCCAGGTGGTTGTTTCTTTCTGCCCTAGTCTGCACCCTACTTGTAGCAACATCCATTGCTTTGTGAGGTCCAGCTGAGCCACACTTCATTTGTTCGATGGTACCTAGCAGACAGACTGAGCTCAGAGGACTTTGACAATCTATCATCTCCTGCGGCACATGCTCCTTTGGCTCTTGCATGCTTTTCCCCATGATCCAAATTAATTTATACCCTGACATTTTGTAACAGCTCATCAAAAGCAGCTTCAATAGTGGAGTCTTCCAGGCTATGCTAAGAAGCATCTTGAAAATATAACTGTTCAACATAAGCTTTTCTTTTCTTCTTCCCTTTCCCTGAGAGTCTGCTTTTTTTCTCCACAGGGATATTACTGCTGCTACAAAATTAAACTTAAGCCCAGCAGATCACACACTGCCTGCATATTCCAGCTTGTCCACTCTTCTTTGCAATGTGCTGTAAGATGGAAACCTGTTCCAGCTCCACTTTGCCCTTCAGGGGACTGGGTAATAAACACCCGCATTGAATCACCTGAACCACGCAAAGGGGATCTCTCCTTTAAAGGTCATTTGAGCTTTGTAGCTCAAACGTCGCCCTCAACTCAACTCATGTCCACAAGCAAAAGCCTCGTTTGAGTTTGGCAGAGCCATTCACTCAAGCAGGTTCACGCAAGGGAGGCAATAAAGCTAAAAGTGAAGTTAGCTCAACTTGTCAGCACAATTCTCTCATTTGGACATAGTCGCATAACCCAGGTCATCCAGTGCTTTCCCAGCATATTCCCCCTGTGCCGGTTGTGGCCTTTTTAACCTTTCTGAAATGTGGGAGCTCCTAAGGTTAAAAACCACTTACCATAATTGCCCATTGTGGCTTTTGGAAGCATCTCGGAGCACATAACTGACTGAGTGAAATGTGAAGTCCTTGGGGTTTTTTAATATATTTTTTTTAAAATCCTTCCCTTTTCCAAATTATTGTTTAATCTGTTGCCTCCTGTGGTGTTTCTACTATACAAATGTGAACAACAAATAATAGCAGCCTACTGATGAGCAGCTTTTGGTTTTTTTGTTAATGCCTTCTTTTAATTGTAAAAGCCGCCCCCTTCACAAGATTGTCTTTGGCTCTGCGTTCGCCTGCCATGCCAAGTGGTACGTATGAAGTCAAATGAAAGCTAGAGGAGACTGAGCAAGTATGAGTCAAGCACCCTCAATTGTCAAAAGGGGAAGATTTTGCACCCTCAAATCAGGAACTGAGCGGATTGGTGTTTTGGGTCTTGTCTACCCACAGATTTGCGCACGTTACCTCAAAGCAAGCCAGGGCAAGTGTGAGTGTGGACGCTCGGGAGTGGGTTATCTGGGTTCCAGAGTGGGTTGTTTCCTCAACACTTTTCTCTAAACCAAGTAATCCCGGTTTAAATAGAAAGATGGCCAGGAACACATGGATGGAGGGGTCAAGTCGGAGGCATAATCTTGGACCAAATCGTACTGGGGCTTCTCCCAGCCAAGCAGGTTGACAAGCAGGTATTTTAAAGCCTGTTTTTATTCGGCAGCAAACTTGGCCCTAAGGTGGGAAGTGTTATGTGTGGTTATCAAGGACTAATGGAGATGACCCTTTCCAGCCCTGTATTTCTATATCTGCAGCATTTTTAAATTAGGGCAGCACGATGTACCACTGGTTAACCCATGAATGGCTCCAAGTCTTGCACCCAGCCCTTGGACCAGTGGAAAAAAAATCAGTTTAAAATCAGACATTCAGTGACGCCACTGCAACTCTGCAAGCCAACAAGCCCTAAGGGCTCCAGACAATCACAGTTTTACCCTATGGCGCCATATTGATTATGAATGACATCTGCCTTCAAACTGAATACTGCACTACACCAAAAAACTCGGCTCAGCCTTAATTGTGGAAAAAAATGTATGTGTTTTCATTATCTCTATGAGAAAATAAATAGATCAGACTAGATACATTTATCTGGAGGGGGAATCTATCTAGAGCTATGCACATAAGGCGACAAATTTCCTGAAACTCAAATGGTACCAAGATGAACTGTGTTTCCCAGCAAGAAACAATGCTAAATAATAATGCTGATAGATTGTTTTTGACCCTGAAACATATTTCTATATAAAAAAAAAAAAAAGAGAGATTTTGGCCAGTAATGGACAGTTTTCAGCTGGGGGTTTGTTTGTTTGGTTTTTGGTGAGTTTGCAATAACAATGAGAGAAGCACACACAAAAAAAGAAATTTTGGGTTTTCTTTCTTCTCCTCAACTCCACAATTAAAATAGGGGAAGAGGAAAATCTTCAGTTAAAAAAAAAATGAAAAACTGTCATTTTCTCCACTATCTTTTTCAAAGAAATGACCACTTTTGTCCAGCTTTGATCTTCAAATGAGTGCACACCTTTGCTTGGGCTACAGCTCAAGTCGCCACACTGTGCATTTACGTTGCCACTGAATCAGTCATTTGGACTGAAAAGAGAGAGAGGGAGTTGTTAAAATGCAAGATAAACAGACTGGAGGCAAATATTTCCTGTGTGCACTAAAAACTGGCTTCGGAACGAATCCAGCAGAGCACAGAGGTCACTCTCCTGCCATAACGTATGGGGGCTGGAGGGACGGCCCATTAGAAAGAAATCAGTGTAAACAGGATCTGCTTTTATCAGTGGGAAAAGAGACCATGTAAACAAGTCACAAGCAAGTGCCTATACATTTTCATCGCAATCTGTTGTTTCGCAGTCATGCAGGGAGTTACAATTACAGGGGGTGACTTATTGATCATGCAGGATCCCAGCCCAGCCCACACACTCCCTCCTAGCAAGGGCTTTCCTCCCCCGCCCGGTGCCTCTGGGTTGGGAGGAGCTCCTCGTTCCAGGCAGCTCTTTTGCAGGCTGGGATGGAGCCATGAGCTGGTGTGGCAGCACCTGGGGTGCGCCAGCTGGGAGGGGGGGCATGGGAGAAGGAAGGGTGCCCACGTGGGGGCTGGGAGATATGAAGCATCACCACGGGGTACTAGGAAATGATAAGGCCTCTCCATGGGGCACTGGGAAATGGTAAGGCATTTCCACGGAGTACTGGGAAATTGTGGGGCATCTTCATGGGGTACTGAGAGATGGTGGGGCATCTCCATGGAGTGCCAGGAGGTGGTAGGGCAGCTCCATGGGGTACTGGGAAATGATGGGGGCCTCTCCATGGGGCACTGGGAAATGGTAAGGCATTTCCATGGGGTACCAGGAGATGGT